TCTTAACTCAGACTAACCAGAGTGAGCAGCATTCGGTTTCTTCTATTTGAAATCAAACATTTTTTGGTCTTTAATTCAACAATCTTTTACCTTTTACGGATTTGTTTATTTCATTCTTTTTCATTCAAAATGTATATGCCGACAAAAAAGTATTTTAAAAAAAAGGCTTACAAATTATGTTTAATGGGTCAAATTGTGATCAAAAGCCACAGCTTTCTGGAATATTGACAGAACCATTAAATCCACGTGCCCCCCCACCCTCTTTCTAAGTAACAACGTAATTTTTTAATTTAATGTAGCAATTATTGTCATATTTATTTTAATACATGGTTCAAATATTGTATTCAAATTATTTCCGAAATTTTTCAACTTTTCTTTTTTAAACCATTTCATTTCGTTCGTATTTTCTAGAGCATGTTTGAAAATTATGCACATTATATGGTGAATGTAAGATTTATCTAAAATCCTTTGTTGAATAATTTATATTTTCTACATTAATACTTAAAATACCTAGAATTTTCATCGGAAGGACAATGTTATAGTAAATAAATATGATTTTTAACTCATCTTCATGCTCATTGCTTACTGGAAGCTATAGGTAATTAAGGAAATTAAGAACCTTTACAACACCAAAACCCGGTTTCGAAAACTATGTTGCAATAAAAGGTCTACCCTCAAAAAGAAAATTAGGATTCTTACACTCAGTTTCGGTTAATTTGTTCCAATAATGTGCCTATACCCTAAAAAAGCAAAATCAGATTGTTAAACCCAGTTTTGGTTCATTTGTTCTTTTAAGTTTCCTCACCATGTAATCTTTTTGCAAGGAATGATGCGCAAGATTTAGTTTACCAAAAGAGATGAAATTTTAACAAGTGAAAGTGTCTCATGATAAGATTAGATACAAAGGATGTTAAAAAATGTCCTCCATGTGTTATTTAAAAAACGTCAAACACTTTATAGAATATATCATATAATCATCCAGCTGAATTCAGTGCAAATAATATCATTTAGCAAATCTAAAAACAGACGATTCTGATATTGGAGTTAAAAGCTAATAAAAAGTGCACTCAATCTAACTGTTCCAACTACAAGTAAACTTTTAATTTAATAAAGTTTGAGAAAAGGAGAAATTCCTAAGTTTATTTTTCATATGACTTTTATTTTCAGATAAACATATTTTTCATAAAAAAAGTTCGCCACTGACATCTTTTCAACTGCACAGGTAGATTTCTATATTATACATTTTTAAGGGTAATTTTAAATCAAAATATAGAATTGACTTTTTTGATATTATAGGTTCAGTGAACTTATTGATAAATAATAAACTAAGTAGAAATAGCTAAGATTTGAATCTATAATATCATAAATATAATACAGATTTTGATAAACATTAATTTTCATTGAATATGACATGAAAATAATATCAAAAAATAATTTTTCTGCATTATGGTCTTTCTTAAAAGAGATAAATTGAAGTTCAAAGTTTTATATCATATCTAAAATAGCTCGAGGTTTGAACTGCATAACATTTACGGTACCACATATACCATTTGCTTTAAAACGGTTTAGTTAGGGTTAGGTTAGACATTTTATAATTCTGAGACACAGAGCACTGCGGCTTGGATAGTAGGCTATGCCAGAAATATAGATCATAAAACATAATACATGTCAAAAAAGCGTATTTCAGGTTAATTTAAAATCTTAAATATTTTCAATTAAACTCTTATTTTTAAATCTATTTAGAAAACTAAAAAGTTTTGATTTTTTAAAGCAAACTTATGCTTGTATTTATCCTACAGTTGTCGTCGTATATATCAATACAATAAAGACAAATTTTGATTTAAAATTTTGCCAACTACTAAGTTTTCAAACAACGATACGCATACAGTGATAACCAAAAAACTCTGAAATAGGAATACGACTTTATATCAATAAAGTGTATTTGATGTTGTTACAAAGCAAATATTTTATACTAGACATTTATTAAATCACTAATTAAGTGAAATGGTTCTGCTTAAACTGTACAATTGCCGCGTACCATGCTTATTGGAACATTTAAAGTCATATCTTCACTCTGAAAGTCGTCTTCACATTTTAGAGTTTTCTGGTTATTTCTGTAACATGGAAAAAAAGAGAAGCTGTCAAATAACAGCTTCCCTTTGCTTACTTATAAACTTTTCATTTGAAAAAGGCTAAAAAAATGAAATAGAAAAGTAGTCTTCATTGTATCGATAAAAACCCCGACCACTTTGCTTGGTCAAAAAGCGGTATTCCTAATTTTCTATAAATTCGACATTTTCCTTTCTAAATTGGAGTACCCTACAGGGTGTCCCAAAAAACATGGGAATTCAGTGACGAATTTGATATCGTCTTTGTTATGAATTAGCACTGTAATACCTAATTTCAAAAGCCAAAATATTATTATGTCTGCTAGAGTTTATTTTATGAAAAAGGTAAAAGACTGCAAAGATGTGTCTATAATGTCTCCGCAAGATGAACAGTGAAGACGGACAAGTTTACTCTGTTTGTATACTGCAATTTTCTTGTTTTACTAAGTACAACCGTATGCAATCAAAACATGAACAAACAAAATGTGAACATAGCAGACGAAACTCTTACAGATTACAGCTTTCTCTGTAGGTATCACTATACTAAATCAAAGAACTATTTGAAAAGACGATATCGAATTCGTCACTGAATTCCCATGTTTTTTGGGACACCCTGTATAGTATTTGAAGTGATAAAGAAAATGAGGAGGGGCCGGCTCAAATACCTGGCCCGAGAGCAAGTTCCTTTAGAGCATATTGTCCTAAGGCTCTTGAAAGCATTTTTATGTTTTAATTTTACTTATTGTTAGTGTGCTAAATGACCGTAACTTGAAAATAAAACTTATTTCGGAAGACGACATTTAAACCCCTTGCAAATATAGACATTTCGATTCTAGAATCTAAATATGATAACATTTACAGAACATCATGAAATTCGATTTTTTTTGGTGCAAAGAGATATATTCATGTTTTGACAAAATTTCTAAAATATCTTTGAATGTCGTCTTTTTTCCTAGTTATGTCATTATAATCCTATGAAGAGTAAATACTTTTTATTTGAATCAACAAATTCTTTATATTTCATTGTGAAATGACAAATTTAGTGCTATTTTCAAAGAACTGCAATATGTATGCTTTTTAAATTACAATTTTGTGGGAAATATTATTTCTGAAAACAACCGACGACATTTCTCAAACCAACGTTTTGAAATATCGTCTTTGAATGTGTACAGTTTCTCTTTGGCGGGTTTTCTGGTCCGTTGCTCAGCAACAAAACCACAGTTAAGATTTAATATAATGAATCACAGGGGAAATCCAGCGCATTGTCATTTGTTCAACTTTTTTATACACGCACAGCAGGTGATCCCGTATGTGCACGCACACCGGAAGTGTAAAAGGGAGTATATCTTTAAATAAAACACAGCTGTCGAAAAGACGAAAAATATAGAGAGGGGAGGAGGGCGACGAGCATTAACATCCCGCAATAAAAAACAAACATTTTGATTTCTAAATTTCTTATTTCCAGATTTATATTTTTGATTTAAATTTTTCGTAAATTCATTCAATAACCCGTTAAAATTTCATCTTCTATCACTTAAATATTAATATATTGAAAAAAATCTTTTTAGTTAATTTTTTATAAATAGAAAAAATATTTTAAAGAGTATAAATAGAGGTCTGAAATCCTACTACCATGCAGGAGGGATGAGCAGACGAGGGAGGGAGGGATGAGCAGACGAGGGAGGGAGGGATGAGCAGACGAGGGAGGGAGGTGATATTATTATTTAATAATAATAATAATAATAATAATAATAATAATAATAATAATAATAATTGATAAAAAAGATAATCAAATTATAGTAATAGTCATAATCAACCATGCATATGACCATACATAACCAAAATCAAATCCTAATGAAAATAAAATTATCTATTGCGCCACTTGTAACAAAAGAATACAAACAATAAAATAAATAATCTCAGTTATGAAATAAAATGACCTTAAATCTGTCCCCATAGGTGGGGTCTGTAAAACATCCTGAGATTTGGGTTTTTCATCCGCCTAAAATATTCATTTTTTAGTAATAACA